CGAGAAATGTCGCGCTTCGAAAGTAAACAAAAGAGCTTCTACGATCGATACGAATCGTTCCTCGATCGATCCACGAACAATACGACGGCGGAAATGACGTCAGGGTTCATTCAGGGAATGAGCGATGGTCGCAGGTTCGATAACGCAGATTCATTACGGCTCAGACGATCGTGGGCTCGTGGAATTCCCGGTTGCGGAGGAATGAGTCGGGCAAACAGCAGTCCGATTTCGTCAAGAGCAACGAGCCATGTACTGACGAGCCACGTACTGACAAGCCATGGCGCCACCGGGATTTAATTGTGGATAAATCGGACGGAGTGAATTCTGAAAGGTGAAAATGGAAATCGTGACCAATAAGCCGGCGAATCCAATCATCTGGGTTGAGCCACCTCGAACAGCTGATCGGGAAGGCCAGTGACCGACGATTAATTTTCGCGTCTTCGAACGAGGTCCGATGAAGGAGCGATGCACTTCGATTTCGAGAGGATTCATTACTTCGCGATGCGAGTCACTCACGAGTCCCGTTTTCCTTTAGTACTTAAATATTTAAAAATATTATAATAATATAAATTAAAATTTTTTCGAGGCGATACCGGTCGAATGGCAGAAAATATGCTGATAACGCGTTCAAAATTAATCGTGTGAAACTGGAGAAGTACTTCATTTACTTTTTTTAATAGCAATTTTATGCTTTTTATTTTATTTTAGCACGAGCATTTTGGCAGAGCACAGAGCAAAGTGATTCACCGACCACATAAAAAATATTTAGGAAATAATTCTTCAACTCGACTCGAACGACGATCCGCCTAAAAATTCAATAAGTTCATTATATTATATAAAAAGAACCAAACTTTAAAAATCTTTATGTTTTGGTCGATTCATTTTCCCCCGGTCAAAAATGAGCCGAGAGTCGGGAGAGCCTGACGACTTCGTGACCCCAGGCTGCATGCGACGCCAGCGCGACGGGCGGGAGATTCCGTCCCTAAATCCGCTCGCGAGTCAATGACCACCGGATTCGCCGATCGGGATTTCTCGGGGGGGAAGGGGGGGGAGGTGAGTCTGTGTCGACTGCCGGGTCGTCTGCCGGGTCGTCTTGCCGGGTCGTCGGAGGGGATGGGCGGGGTGATCGATGACGGTTTCGTGTCTGGGTGACCGCCATGCGCCTATCGACTACACACGTCGGGGGGATCACGCGAGACGCAGGGCGGACGAGATCGTGTCGCAGTCAAGCATTTCCTTCTCGTGCAAGGGTCTAAGACGTTCTGCAGCGGGTGCGCTCTCCTGCGATCGAGTGCATTTTTTTTTTTTGGCGGATCTAAGAATTGTTTTTGTCGTGTTTCGGTATCGGGTTTTCGTCGGGACTTTCGTCTGCGATCTTTGACTCTATTTGAGTTTTCGTCTCGATTTATTTCTCGCGCTCGATCCTGAAGCTTTCCCATCGTTTGCAGCGTGCTCCGTTCCGTGATGAAACGGACACCTGCTGGCACTTAGAGCGACTCCTCGGAGCTACGTCACATGAAAAAAAAAAACCGAAGGCCTTGAAAGCGAAGGGTCGGCGGTGCCAGCCGTCTCAATAGCGCGTGTGTCCTCGGCGTGCACGGACGCGGAAGGGCGTGCACGGACGCGGAAGGGCGTGCACGGACGCGAAACCGAGATTCGTAATATTTTTTCGCCTTTTTTTTTAAAGCTGAGTATTTCGGAAGTGTTGATCGACGAGTGCGAGTGAAGACGTTCTGCATTAATGAAGAACATCGTGAGCCATCAGTGAGCCATCAGTGAGCCATCAGTGAGCCATCAGTGAGCCATCAGTGAGCCATCAGTGAGCCATCTCATTTCCTTCAGACTTCCGGCGGTTTTCTGACGCGTTCGTCCGCGTTCCGGCGTCCCATTAATGAGGATTAGTCACATCCTGGATTTTTTTTCCCCCCCGTTTCCTCCGCGATTAAGTGCGCTTCCATGTTTCGTCCGAGGCATTTTTACGGCCGCCGGATTTTTTCTTCTCGCGTTTTTTTCCTCCTAAATATATGATGAAATCCCCGATTCATTTCGCAGAATCTCCGGGTCTCTCCTGCGAGATTCACCTTGAGCGCGCGATTCCTGACTCATTCGCGTGGGGCAACTCGGCCTTGAAGATGGCCAGCCGGAAGCGATTCCTTTCGACTGAGGGCAGCTCGTCAGGCTTTTGGAATGCGAAACGCGTCAAGTCGCATTTGCTTTCGTCCGAGTTCAAGGCGAGGGGGGATCGAGGGGGCGATCGAGGGGGGATCGAGGGGCGATCGAGGGGGGGATCGGGGGTGGATCGGGGGTGGATCGAGGGGGCGATCAGCTCGTTAGAGGACCGCCGACGGGGATTTTCGAGGAAAATTTCAATCTAATTGGATTCTGCGAACATTCCTGAGCATTTTGGCGCTTGGAGTGCGAATTTTAGCGCAGGAAGTTTGAAAGCTAGGAATTTTCTTGTCGAAATAAATGGCTGCCGGTCACTCCGGTATCGCGAGGCTATCCGTTTACAAGCTTCGGAAATCGAATCCAAAAGGGGCGAACGGGGAAGTGACGCGAGGTCGGGTTCGTATTCCAACCGAAAACACTGTAATCCCGTACTTCTCTCGAATTTCAAGCTCGTATCCCCTTTACGAGGGGGGGGGAAGGGGGGAAGGGAGGGGGGGGCCGGCTTAATTGCGGGGAAATGCCGGCACGTGGTTTAATATCGGAGGACGATGGGGTCCCCATTATGGGATTTCTCCTCGAGGTCTCAATTAATGCTCCGCGTCGGATGAGGGAAATCACGCGTCCCACATCGGCGTGCCGAAAAACGCGGAACCATTTTTTTTTTTTCGTACCCCCATGCCTTGGACCATCGGTGGTGACACTCTTTCGGCCTTCGTCGGCGGCGTCTGTCGCTCATTTCGCCCACATCGACTCGGGAGATCTGGGGCGGATGGAGGCTGGATGCGGGCGTCCGACGAGACGCGATCGCGACTCGTGATTTGCATTTGCTCCAAATAATGTTTATCTATGGGTTTATTTATGTAGAGCAGGAAAGTCGCTATCCTGCTTTCGCAAATTGGAAAAGAGAAGTCTCTTAAGTTCATTTTCAAAACGCAATTCTGAAAGCGAAATTCGTATCGGTCGTCGGTATCGGTAATATCGTAATAACGACATTAATTTTTAGGGGAACGAGAGAGTTCGCCTTTTTTTGCCTTTTTTCTCCGGTCCTGATGCAAAAAAAAAAAAAAA